GAGCAACCAGCACTTTTGGTGAATTGGGATTGACAGTCCCCAGATAGGAGGCGTCTGACTGTGACACACACCCCCTTCTGGAAGAAAGAGGCTGGGCATTCAGACCCTGAGCGCCAGGTCACTAGTGGTCTAAAAGGGGGCCTGCAGAGGTGGAAGGCGCCTGTTTGATGACTGAGATGGAGAGGCCACACTGGCACCAGGGTAGACCAGTCCTTGGTTAGTACCATCAGTAGCCGCCATATGCCGAGCGTGCGGGGAGACCCAGCCTTCCCTCACTGGCTGCACTGCCCTCTGCAAGGGAGAGACTCCCCAAAGCTCGGTTTCCTTATTTATAAGGTCGGATGTAAATAGCACGGAGGAAAACAGTGGGATGGCATATGAAAAATGATGCCTATCCCTGGCTTGAGTACTTGGCCAATAAATGCTATTGTGATTGTGACGGTATTCTTTTTTTCATGTGTCTGGTTGTTCACATACTCTATTTAATTTTCAAGCTGTCCTTGGGATCTAAGCTATGATTCTCATGTTTTAGGGAAAGGACCCTTGGGCTTTGATGAGTTAAGGAACTAACTGCTCAGGGTTCCACCCAGAGTTAGGGGCAAGGCTGGGATTCAAACCCAGGTCTGCCTTGCCCCCAAAGCCAATTCTCTTTCTATTCACTGGTATCCGAAGTGGGCCATCACAAAGTTTAATTGGGGGGAAGCATCCAACACAATAGAGATAGGTCTCACTTGTGTGGGAGGTGCTGGACAAAATCCCCAAATGAGGGGCTCCTCTGGCTACGGCCAAGTGGAACCCTTGCGTGCTGGCTTGGGCTCCGGGTTTTGTCCTCCCAGCCTTTATCATGCTGCCTCCTTTCCTGGTATGCCCCTCCCTCAGAGTCTGCTTCTCAAAGTCTAACTCGTCCTTGTAAAGGCAAAGGATGCAGCCACAAGCCAGGGTTTTGCACTGTGTGACCCTCCCTTGTTTTAAGTTAGGGTTGTGTGTATGTCTTCGGGTGTGAAAGAGAACATTGAAAACAGACTGGAGGTAAATAAGATAAAAAACAATAGTTCCCTGTGTCGAGAGGGGCTTGGATTTACAGAGATTTTTCTCTCTATTTTCCAAAGTTAAAAAATGAACATGGATGACTTTTGGGAACAGGAAACAAAGTTATTTTTAAAAACCCAGACTGTGTCTTCAAGGCACAGCTCAAATGCCCCCTCCTGTGTGGAGCCATGATGTGGCCTAGTGTGTGTTCACCTGGCAGGGTCTCTGTCCCTGCCTGTCTTTGCCCCCATGCGTATCTCCAAGCAGAATGGCTCCAGGTATCCTGGCCCCCAGGGCAGCTGAAGGCAGTCTTGGGAGGTTTGGGAGCTCTTAGTCTCTGTTAAGTTCATGTCATCATTCCCCCAACAGCCTTTTAAGGTAGGCGTGATGATCATCCTCAGTTTAAGAAACGGTCTGGAAGCTGAAACAGACTCATTAGAATGTCCAAAAAGTCCCTTTCCAGATCCCGTCCCCATATCCCACAGAGACCCAAGCTGTGGTCATCATGATCTTATGGGTCCCCGTGTCTTGGTCTGTCCCTCGCCTTCTCTACCTTCTTTCCCCTGACTTGGTCCCACCTTCCTTGCCATCTGGTTCCCATCTCTGACACACTCCAAGACTTACAGCTCACTTACCACTGCCTCCAGGAAGCCTTCTGTGAAGCCTCTGCTTTCTCAGGCTCCCACTTGCCTACCTGTGTCACAGCATTTATCACTTCTTACCGAACTTGGCCTTTCTCTCCACTGTTTGTCTTTCTCTTTCTCCAGCCAGACTGAAGGACAGGAGTCTAATTTCTTTATCCCCAGTGTTTAGCTGGCATAAATTAGGTATTCAGTGAATATTTGTTGAATTAATTAATATAGTCATTTCAATGGCCCTGTAAAGTGACCATTTACAAATGAAGAAAAATGAGGGGTTTGCTCAGTCACGGCCAGTGAGTTTTGGCACTGATTCTAGAACATAGATCTTTTGATATCTAGTCCAGCTTGGCTGAAATGCTGACATTTAAAGAAGCAGAGGAGAAAAATTCTGCCAGTTCTAGGCGGAATGGAAACTGGTCCAGTCATGGTCCAACATAAGCTGAGAGGTTGTTTATATGCTTTTCCTTGTTTAAGGAAAAAACTCAGTTGATTGTGTTTTTTAACACTGCCTTTTATTTCTTTTCAATTACTTGCTTAGTATAATTTCTAGGAGTTGGAATGTGAGGTCAGGTGACTGGACATTTTAGATGGCTCTCAATATTGGTAAGCAGTTGGTAAATTGGTAAGTAACTGCCAAATTGATTACCAAAAACTTTGTACCAGTTAACACTACCTTCAGAAGTATGTGAGTGTTAGTTTTACCACTTACACACCAGCACTGGGAATTATCATTACTTAACATTTTCGTTACTCTCAGAGATGTAAAGTTGTGCCTCATTATTATTTTCTTTTTTATTTCTCTGTGAACAGCTGAGGTTGAGTATTATTTTCTGCGTCTATCTATATTCTTGTGAGACTCACATGTTCGTGCTCCTTATTGTGCTACTTAATTTTCTGAAGATAGTCGAAGGCATTTGTGGAAGACAGACCTGGCTATTTAGTGGAACAGGCACTGTTAGGAGGAAACACAAAGATGAGTATGTGAGTGTTTGTATCCGTTACGAGGCTTTTTGGTGGCAGGGAAGAGAATATCCAATGAAAAGAGGTTTTATGAACTAAGAAGATTTTATTACCTCACAAAACAGGGAGGCAGCTGCACTGCGGGTTGGCTAATCAGGCACAACATGACACTCGGATCCCCCAGTCCCTCCCTCTTTCCTCTCTGCCACCTCAGCGTGGACTTCATGCTGAGGCTGCTCTCTTCCCAGCTGAAAGCTCACCGCTCTGTGTCTGCTCTGCCATGTTCAAGAACAGGACAGACCAGACTCTCTCACCTGCTAGTCTGTTTGCTTTTGCACAAAACAGAAGATACTGTTTTTTGTTTTTGTTTGTTTTTGTTTTTTTGCCACAGTTTTGGAGGCCAGAAGTTCAAAATTAAGGCCTCCAATTCCTTTTTAATAGGGAAAAATATCTTTCCCAGAAGCTTCCAGAGAGCTTTTCCGTTAAGTCTGTTAGGCCAGCACCATGTCACCTGCCACACCTACCCCATCAGTGGCTCAATGGGTAGATTTAAATTCATCAACATTCAGCTGTCTGGGATCCAAAGGGGAATCACCCCCCCTTGACACATGGTTCCCTCTACATTGCGGTTCTGTGAATGAGCAAGAAGCTGAGTATGAACAACGGTTGAATAAACAGCAACAGTATCTGTTACAGATACTAATTAATCAGAATTATACCAATCTTTTTGTTTTTTAATTTTTTATTTTTTGATTATTTTTATTAACATATAATGTATTATTTGCCCCAGGGCTACAGGTCTGTGAATCATCAGGCTTACACATTTCACAGAACTCACCGTAGCACATACCCTCCCCAGTGTCCATCCCCCAGCCACCCTCTCCCCCCCCTCCCCCCAGCAACCCTCCGTTTGTTTCGTGAGATTAAGAGTCTTTTATGGTTTGCCTCCCTCCCGATCCCCTCTTATTTCATTCCCCCCCAACGACCCCCCGCCCTGCCTCTCAAATTCCTCATATCAGAGAGATCATATGATAATTATCTTTCTCTGATTGACTTATTTCGCTCAGCATAATACCCTCTAGCTCCATCCACGTTGTTGCAAATGGCAAGATTTCGTTTCTCTTGGTGGCTGCATAGTATTCCATTATCAGATTTATACCAATCTTGATACATTTTCATCAAGAAAATATTTTCTGAACTCTATTAGGCTAATTCATTTAAAAATTTCTTTTCGCTAAGCATACTTCACTTTCTTCCACTTTCATTTTGTTTCATTGAAATCTTTTCTCTGGATACAGATCCTTTTCCATATAAAATTTATGCCAGAGATTTATTTCACTGACCTTTTTACATGTTCTTTATAAATTTGGTTGACTGTAGTTGTAGGCTTTGACATCACTAATTTTCTCTTGAGATTATAATCCATACTGCTCTTCTGAATGGGACAAATTTTGTGGACCAAGAAATTTTATGTTGACTATTTCTATTAATAGGCTTTATTAGGAATTGGATGATGGTCATTATATGTATTTCTCAGCTAATCCACGACGAAATTATGAGAGTTCTTTTTAGACGCAAAGTTGGATCTGTTATTCAGGTCTGGCCCGATGCCTGTTTTCATAGGGGTGTAAGCCAAGAATGGCTTTTATAGATGAATATTTGTAATCTGTTCAATGGTAGAGAATATGAACTTTAAACCCCAGTTTAGAAAAATGTTAACCTTCTCCCCCAAAGCAATTTCATTTATTCTTATTAGTAGACATATTACAAAAACTATACTCAATTGCTATTATTTTGTTTTGAATTTTATCAATAAAGGCTTTGTAGAAATTTGTTTACCCTTGTTATATAAATATGACATGGTAGTTTTGATTTTGCCTTTTGGCCCCCAAACCCTAACATATTTAGTATCTGGCCCTTTACAGAGAAGTGGGCTAGCACAGCCCTGTGATCTTGCTATCCTGAGTCTCCTGGACACTGACTCCCCCTCCCTTACCCCATACTTCTCCGTGGGGTTAGCAGGAGCAAATGGTGAGTTCTTAGGGTCCAAATCATAGAGTCAGACATCCAGCTGCAGTTGGAAAAATAGTAAATTGGGTGAACACAGTCATATTGCTCAGTAATAGAGACAGCTCTTCAACTCTGACGAATTTCATCAAATTAAAAATGCCAAGTGCTCTAAGAGTTTTCTGTATAAGTCAGTTTCCCTTTTTCCTTATTCAAGAAGATATCTAACATGTGGGAAGAGCCCAACTGTCACTGCTTTCAAAGCATCAGCTTTTGAGTTTTCTTCAAATGCTTGGGAGCCTTGGGCTGCTTGGGAGAGTACTTTTCCTACTGAAGGTCACTCCTTTTTCTTTCCTTTAACAGATGAGGAAAAAGAAAACAATAGAGCATCCAAGCCCCACTCCACTCCTGCTACTCTGCAATGGTAAGTTCATTTTCAGTAAGTCTTCTCTTGATGGGGCCCTCACGCAACTGTCACTTCCTACCAGCAGAGCAGGGTGTCACTGGGAGGTCTGACATTGTCCTGAGAACTTGACATCCAGTAGCTCACATGCAATCAGTTTGATTTGCGGCTGTGTGTAAAATACTCAACTTAGATCCTGCCTGGAGATTTGGATTTCCATATTTGTTGTATTTGGTGGGTAGATTTTGTTTCCCGTCATCAAGATCCTGGCAAGGGCTGAAGCCCACAAGGGTGTTGCTCACTGACTTTCTGGAATGCGTTGTTACAATTAACAACATTGCAGCAAATTACAGAAACATAGGTCTGTTTACCCCTACCAAAGAGTTCTTCATGGTTTCATATTTAATTGTAACTATACTACAATTATTTTAACATTAATAACACAAACAAGCATTACCTACTTCAGTGGCTTTCCTTTCGGTATCTGGAATTCCTGGACTTGGTGCAACACCTAATGGATGTTGTTTGAGTGGCTGCTCTCATGTTTGAGGTTTACAGATAAAATTCTCCTGTAAGAGGCTCACTTAGAAATTGTGTTGTAGCTTTTCCCCCAAACATCGTTTCAGTTAAGGCTGTTATTCCACTGGCAGCCCAGCCCAGCAAACCTGAGGAGATTAAGGAAGGAAGGAGAGGGAAGAAGGACTGGGGAAGGGAAGGCACGAAGACCTATTACGTGCCAGACTCCGTGCCAGGAGCTCCCAATACATGCCTCATGCCTGGTCTCAGTCTCACGGTTCTCTGAAGTTGATATTGTTATGCCCATTTCACAGATGAAGAAAATAAAGCTTAGACAATTAAGTCATTTGCCTGAATCTACACAGAGCCATGAAGGGGTGCAGGCAAGAACCTGGCTGGGTCTCTTTAATTGCAAAGCCCCTGCTTTGGAAGAAAGGAAGAGAAGACTCGGGAAGGATAGAGAGGAGAGAACAAATGAGAAGAGGAAGCAGGTGGGCTTTAATGAGCAAATCGCATTAGATTCTCCCGACTAATCCACGCACAGGTGGGAGGAAGACAGCATGGGGGAAAGCGTTCAGGAGCGTAACTCAGTCTTCTCTAACGAGGGTCTCAACATTCGGCTCGCTTGGCTGCCGGGAGAGTAAGGTTGTTTGCAGGAGCTTGATTTCCAGACTTTGGCTTGTTTCCATCGTTTTGTCCCTATATTCTTTTTCTTGTTGCATTTGCTGCTTTTGGCTTTCTTTAAAATTCTACTCTATTCCCTGGTCAAACCTCTGCCTGCACCCTTCCCCCTAAATTATGGTCACACAAATTCATAATGCCAGGACATCTAACGAGGCATCCATACAAAGGACTTAGGGCACGGGAGTTTCTAGAAATGCAAGGAATCAGCAGACACTCTGACTTAAATAACCTGAACATGGCTCATGTTTCAGAATAAAAGATGTGAATGGGAGCAGAAGAAAATGACCTTGTTCATGCCTATTTCTCTATGATTCTCGACATTTGCCTCGCAATCATGAGGTGGTAGACAGTGCCACCTCTTAAGTCCGACTGCCAGAATGAATGCCCAGCTGTGCCTCTCCTCAGCTGGGGAAACTTGGACAAGGTCCTTAACCTCCCTGTGCCTCAGTTTGCTTACCTGTGAAATGGGGAGAGCAGTGGTGTCTAACTCCTAGGGAGAGTCATCAAGAGGGAACGAGTTCATGCAGACGAAGTGCTTGAAGTGTCTGACGTCTGACGTAGATCCGGCTGCTCGGCATATCCTCCCTTCTGAGTCGCCCGGGCATCCGGGGTCAGGGCTCCTCTCCTTCCTGCCGTAGGCTCCGTCGGTTCACTCCTACTCTCCCTAATATCTGTTTCTACGTAAAAGGTCACATAGATGATTCCAGAAGAAATGACATCTTCCAATTCACAAAGTCAGGCAGGAGATTTTTTAAAAAATAACTTTTAATTTCAAGGCCAAATCAGCTTTGAGAATTTGGCAGTTTTTGTTTTATTATTATCAAAAGACATCAAGTTGTTTGAAGAACATCAAATTTCTCTCCAGTTCTCTTTCTATGTAGAAGACAGAATTTTAGTCACTAATTCAGGAAATGTTGGTCAAGCACCTTCTATTTGCCACACCCTGTTTCTAGGCTCTGATAATGTACCAGTGAATCAGACAGCCCAGGAATAGGGACCCAGGGGAGGTGAATTTATAATGATATAGAAGTATCCTATTAATGATAAAGAAACAAGGAATACATTAGATGCTGACAGGTGCTGTGCAAAGAATTTGAATCGGCTGACAGGGTAGTGTTTCAGAGGGTATTTTAGGTGGAGTGGTGAGGGAAAGCTTCCCAGAGGAGGTGACATTTAAGTGGACACTTGTATGACAAGAAGTCCTCACTGACAACATGACAATGTGAGAATCAGGGTTGGGGAACATTCTAGGCAGAAGGAAGCTTCTAAAAAAGCTGTACTATTGTAGGTTGGGCTTTCCCAGAGGCAGCCTGAGCAGAGACCTGCATACCGGTGTTTTATTCAGGTGTGCCCCCAGTATCAACACGTTGGGGTGTGAGGGACGCTAGGGTAGGTGGGGCCGGGGGGTGTCAGGTTAACAGGAGGCTGTGGCAGAGCCTTCAGCAGTCTCTAAGGGAGTTCTGAGGCTGGGCTGGCCCTTTAGAGAGACCAGAATCTAGGCAATGGATCCAGGTCTTTACCTCCTACCCCCTTGCCCATCACTGGATGTCAGCGGTCCCCTGCGAGGAGGGTGAAGCTTTGGGCAAGTCAGTTCTCTTCACATTCTGCTGAGGACAACTCCCTAGAACAGATTCAGTCTCAGTACCAACCTCCCGGAAGTGAGGAAGGATGCCTCAGTCCTCAGGAGTAACCTGGGCACACACCACAGCGTCTGCCACTCCCTCCAGGATGGGAGGCAGGCTGAGCTTGTTCAAGGAACTATAGGAAGCAGCCAGTGTGGGACACAGCAAGAGATAGCAGAGTGATAAAGATAGGGAGAGGGAGTCAGGGTAGAGAATCTGTGAACAGCAGGAAAGACTCTCTTTTTAAAAGATTTTATTTACTTGTTTACTGAGTTGGGGGGAGGGGGAGAGGGAGAGAGAAAATCCCAGGCAGACTCCATGCTGAACAAGGAGCCCGCCATGGGGCTCAATCCCACAATCCAGAGATTATGACCTGAGCCAAAACCAAAAGCTAGGCGCCCAACCAAGTGAGCCCCCCCGGTGGACCAATATTTCTCTTTTAAAATTTTCTTTTATTTTAAAAAATTTTTAAATGATGTTCAGTTAGCCAACATATAGTACATCGTCCGTTTTTGATGTAGTGTTCAAGGATTCATTAGTTATGTGAAACACTGAGTGTTCATCACAATACATGCCATCCTTAATACCCATCAGCCAGCATTTCTCTTAAATAAAAACAGAGTCGTGGGACGCCTGGGTGGCTCAGTTGGTTAAGCAGCTGCCTTCGGCTCAGGTCATGATCCCAGCGTCCTGGGATCAAGTCCCACATCGGGCTCCTTGCTCATCAGGGAGCCTGCTTCTCCCTCTGCCTCTGCCTGCCATTCTGTCTGCCTGTGTTCGCTCTCTCTCCCTCTCTCTCTCTGACAAATAAATAAATAAAATCTTTAAAAAAAAACAAAACAAAACAGAGTCGTGCTTCAGACTGTAGTTGAAGACACGTGACCTCCTATATGTAAAGTTGCACTTGAGCAAAACTTTTAGAAACGCACCGTCCATTTCGCAAGGGAAAATGATATCATTCAGCCTGCGTACCCTTTCTGCTCTGGCCGCCAGCGAGTTCAGAGCGAAATCTGTGTTCTTGTATTTTCCCCCTTTTCCCCTTGTCTGACTTTCTTCCCTCTCTTTGTTAACATTGTAGAGAAAGACAAGATACAAATTCAATACTTATTTTTGCTTCTATTTTATTTAATTTAATTTACACGAGGGATATATTTCCTCTTTTAAAAACGGAAATATCGTTTATGAGACTAACTTGGTTGTAGTTCCTGCCTCTTCCCCCGGAGCAGCCCTGTCACCAGTGAGAAGTGTGCTTGTGTGTTTAAAGTCCTTGTCGACACGTTTACGTGTCTGTGTACCAACACAAGTTTCCAAATTGTGATTTTTAGGATTTCGTATTTCTTCCTTTCTGAAAGGAATGCAGATATATTGCACTAAAACACGCTCCTACACTGTATCGACCCATGGCTTGTCCTTTCCTCACTGGAAAGTCCCCAAGCCATCCCCATGTTAGTCGGTAAAGAGCAGCCCCATTGTAACTGCTGCGCACAATTCCATGGATTTCGCCACTTGCCTCTTGATGGACATCTGGGTCGTGTCCGGATCTCATCTGTGCCCTCACAAACAGCGCTTCTGGGAACCTCTTCATACCCACCCCCTTGCCCACCTGTGGGAATGTTCTCCATGTTGGGGTCAAGAAGTAGAAGAGTTGGGTGCTCAGAAAATATTAATAGGAATAAAATCTGCCCTCTCAAATGGTTTTGCCATTTTGTATCTTCACCCACCATACAAAATACTTAGAAAAAAAGAAGGGGGGGGCACCTGGCTGGCTCAGTTGGTTAAGTGTCTGACTCTTGATTTTGGCTTAGAGCATGATCTCAGGGGTGTGAGATTGAGCCCCGCATCAGGGTCCGTGCTGGGCTTGGAGCCTGCTTGGGATTCTCTCTCTTTCCCTCTCTCTCTGCCCCTCCCCCATCCCACTCTTTCTCTCTCTAAAGAAAAATAAAAAAGAAATAGGACCTAGCTCCACACCATTGCATCTCATTCTCCGAGGCACGTGCATGCGTCACACCATCCCCTCTCTGCAGTGGCCAGGTGCAGCCCCTCAGGACCGTGAGGGGGGCAGGCCCAGAAAAGGACATTGGTCTCCTTGCCAAGGAGGCCCGACTGTGCTGAGCTCTCTTGGGATGCTTGGCTTGTTTTGGAAATTGGGGTAGGAGCTATTTGCTTCCCCACCTTCTCCCTCCTTGCCACGAGGCCCCT